ACCTGGTAGCTTATGGGGTTCCAAGCTTTTCTCAAGGTTGACGCTGTTTTTGTTTCCTTTCGGTTAAAATTCCCGCAATTCTCTCCCTTCCAGGCCACTTGGTTTCAGGTAAAGCTCTTTGGAGGCAAATGTAAATAAGCTTGAGATCAAGTAATGTTTTTATTGTTGAGAGGTAAGGGGTTATGGAATCAGTTAATTTTAATAATCTTTTTGCTGTTAGATAAATGTTGTGTGCAATCCTTAGCCCTTTCAGTTACAAAGCGACGTGCTAAAAAAATTTGAAGGGCCATTTAAGGGGAAGGGGTCCGGGCACCCACTCCCCGATGCTCCTTAAGGGCCATTTTTGTTAATCAAGGATTGTAGCTTCATTCTGGCTTGGTTGACACATACACGCCAAAAACTAAAATAGCTCCGAGAAAATGCCATGCCAGTGATATTACCCACGAATAAAGATACTAACATGCTGTACTCCACTTAACTTTTACGGGCCGTCACTTATTATAATTAGCAGAATTGACTCATTTAATACTCCAATTGGATCGTGCAAGTCTTGAAATTGCCACAGCAGCTTAAAGTCAAAAAGACTCTTTTCGATTTCAGTCATGAACGACATGACTAAAATGATTCTTTGAACATCCGTTCTTACGAAACATCAGCTTTGCTTTTACGGACATACCGTGCAGGCCAAGACACCTAGTAAATAATTAAAAGTCACTTTGACGAGCATACATTTATAACCATTGAAGGATGGGAATTCGCCATTTGTCATAATACACCTTGTTTGCCCCCTCCCCCTCCCCCCATAATTATAGCATTGTCTTCGGTCTCCCTTGCGGCGACTGTAATTCCCAGGAGAAATTAAAAACGAAGGTTAAGCCAGGGAATCTGGGACCGAGAGACGATGTTCTCCCAACTTGCAAAGCGGTCACCCTGCGTGGTGGTCAGCGGATAACTGCAGTGCATTTTTTAAAAAGTATTAAAATATTTCATTAGCGAGAAGCGAACCAGCAGAGGAAATAATTCAGTAATTGAAAAAATAATATCACCCCTCTTTGTTTTTCTCGCATATCGTATTTGTACTTTGGTACTGAAAGCGACACTCAATGCAACCGTGGAGTAACCGACAACAGCGCGCCCTGGACTATCGATCGAGTTTATAGGTATTTCGCCGGGCGAGGAGAATATTATAGAGGTTATAATGCTGATAAAAATTACTGGAGAAAGCGTAAAATGTATCAGAATTAGGGCTTTTCAAGAGAGCTTTATAAATATATTCCTACATACCTGACTAAGCAGATTCACTCTTCATAACAGTGATAATATTTCACTTCCTGAACATATTCTTTGCACTTCGGTTCCTAGCTTTGGTACCAGCGATCACAATCCAACAGTCTTATACTGCGCAAACAAAATGCAAATTCGAGATGCAGAAAAGGTGGCAAACACGTCGGGATTTCTTTTCGCTCCTTGAAAAAAGTTGACACCAATCCTCTTATCGCTGATTTAAATAGGATACCCTGGAGCATACTCGAGACCGAAAGTAATGACCCAGGTGATATGCTAAACACCTGGATTAAACTTGTACTTGACGTTGTTGACACACACGCCGCGTGTGTCCAGTGAAAAGGAAACGGGTCAAATCCCCTAAAAAACCTTCTTGGCTAAAGAATGAAATTCAGGAAGCGGTCAAGCATCGTGATCACCTCAAAAGACTACTCGATCATGGAAAAATTCCAAGAGCTGATCATAATAAGGTCAGAACAAAGGTTTGTTGTGTATTATTGTAAATAAGGCCAAGTCCGCGGCGGTCGAAAATGAACTTGACGGAAACAAGCAGAATTGAAAAAACTTAGTCTCAGTGGTAAGGTGAAACCCATCCTCGGAGACCCAGGGGCAGATAGTGGGGGCTAAGGAAAGTCTAAACGGGTGGAAAAATATGGCACGAAGAAAAGTAAAGAAAGGAAGCAAATCAATTTAACAAGCATTTCCTCTATCGCGTCATCTATAGTCGAAACCTGCTACACCTGACCTATCACACATTGAGAGCTTTGTAAACGACAGAATACCATCTACTGCAATCTTTGAAATTCCACTTCTCGATGCCAATTCTTTAGATAAATTAATCAAATCACAGTCCTACAAATGTTTCTATGGGTCTCGATCGAATAAGTGCTTCTTCACAAAAGCTCATCTCTCCAGCTACTCTTGAAAGTCTCACCAAGGTTCCTAATTGTAGCATTCTGTCTGGTACCTGCCCTTCTCAGTGCCGTCAAACTGCCACATGTTACGCCCGTTCACAAATCTGGACCAGCTTCTGATCCGAACGATTTTCGTCCGATTTCCAATTATTTTGAAGCTGCTTGAAAGACACATATGTATACCCATTTAATGCTGGATTGACGAGCACCGGATTACCTCTCTGAGGAACTGTTATCTTTGAAATACCACAAGTCTCATGATACAAGGTCTCGGTTGCCTTATCGCCTTTCTATTCCACGTGCCAATAGCATGAAGCGAAATCAATGTTCTTTTACAATGAAGTTGAACAGTGGAACAATGTCAGCGACAGTGATTTAGTCCGAGCCTCTTCTGATGGTAAGAAGTTCATCAAAAGAAATTACTTTGATACAGTCATCTGTAAATTCACGCCTAACAGTTTTAAAGTTGACAAAATTTTTAGCATTTATGACTTTGTATTTTAATAATTTATTATCTTAAAGTACTTATTTAAGCTTTTATTTATGTGACCGAACATTTTTAGCTTTCTTAAACTTGAATTTTGACTTATTTATTACCTTAGTATAATTTTAGTATTTTAAGGATTTTAGGATTTTAGTACTTTCATAAATTATTCACCCTATTGAAATGATGTGTTTATGTTATCTTATCTTCGTTTATTACGATCAGTCAACATCTTAAATTCAAAGTTTAAAATCAATCAGCCCTCATAAACAAATTATATCTTTTAATTGCTGAAAACTCTGTACCTTGAAGCGATCTTAACTTGGCCTTAGGTTTGCGATATCTTAACTCCCAGGCTTAACTCTTCGGCAGTTGTTTCAGCTATACGCAGCTATATGTTGCATATTCCAAACTCTGTCGAGGAAAATTGTTTAAAGGAAAATGCAAAACGCACACTATGTCTGAAAAGCGACATAAAATCAATAAAGTTGCGAACTACCAAACTATAATAGTGAGAAACAATCCCGCCTTTGAACGCCATGGCTTTGTTCCTTGAACTGTTTATCTTTGATTTATGACGTAATGCGCATGATCAGTACACAAATCCGCTGGCAAGACCCTTGATGATCGCTTTGCAAGTTGTGAGAACATTGTTTAGATTTCATTTAAGAGAATGTATGAGAAATAGCTTCCCCTCCCCCTGGGCTAAGCAAAGGTCTTGGTGACAAACAAAGCGAATAGTGGGAGAGTTCGTGGAAGATTTTTTAAGGACCTTGCAATCCGACAACAGCGACGTCCATGAAAACGTCGCTGAAAAACAGACTCCTCATCCTTTCAAGTCAACTATTTCGCAAATATCCCAAGTCACCCTGTTAGTTAAAAGAAGGGAACTAATAGGCTGGAGCTGAAGAGAGGGGACCTCGCCCGAGTCCAGACAAGGATTGTAGAATTTATCGCCCTGCCGTCTTCGTTCTCAAGTAGACCTAAACTTTAGTCATTTCACGTCGTAATTGTGCAGGGGCGGCAAAGAAATGTACAAAAAAGCGTGTCGCATGTGCAGAGTTGCTGTTTTGCTCATTAGACCTATTGCTTTTTGGACGTGCCCGTTGCCGCCGGCGCCGTCGTGGTTTCATAAAGGTGATGTTACAGGGGACGATTTGCAACGACGATTTTTAGCGCAACACAGCGTTGGTATGTTGGAACAATGTTGTCACCGTTCGAAACAATGTCGCAGCAATGTTGCCGCGCTGCATTGCGCTAATTGAAATCGTCGTTGCGAATAGTCTCGTGTAACGTCACGAGAAAACAATATAATGTAATATAATACAATATAATAATTTTATTCGCAAACATTCACAAGGAACAAGTTCTCAATACTTACACATTTGTTTTCTCAATTTAATGTTACAAAATTAGATCTATCCAGTCAATCACTCAACTCTTGTTCAGTTTGAGCACTTAATAAATCACATTAGGAGCCCATAACCCGGGGCGTGCAAATCGCACACTAAGCCTATGCAACGGCGTTTTCACAGATCAGTTTATTTTTAGCATCATTTTGGAGTATTTTTCCTGCGAAAATAGACACACCGTTCCGTATGTGTGCAAATCCATACTACGATAATGACAAAAAAAAAAAGTAAATGTTATCGAAACATCAGAAATACTATTTTCTTGTCTCTCATTTTTGGTGAATGATTTGCAAGACTTATTTAATGGTCAAAATTCTCGGGGCAAAATTAATCTAAAAATATATTGGTCTGTGCGACAAGGGAGTTGCTCGCTCCGGGTTATGGGGTAATGATTACATATATTTCTATGTTCTTTCTTGCCTCAGTTTTGGTGTTAAAGAGATTAAGAATCACGTTTTACGGTTAACGGCAAACGTCAGATTCAAGTTCAGAATTTCTCAATTAGGAAATTAGCCGATAAAAACTGTCGAAAACAATTATTATGAGTGAAACTGGCATGAGTATACTGATTTCTGTGTAGATGTTATGGTCCAATTTTATCCTTGGTTTAAATTTTCTTTTCTTTTGTTTTTGGGTATAGTAATGTATGATAATAACATGATAATGAGTTTGAAACAAATAAAAGAAAAGAAAATTTGAACCAAGGATAAAATTGAACCACAACATAGACACAATGGGCAGTAAATGACGAGTGAAGATGAAACTTGCGTGATCCTAAATCTCTCCATTTTTGTGCCCCTGTACCTGAGTTTGGACGTATTTCAGGTTAATACAGAATGAAAACGTTCTTGCAGTGAAAGTAGGACGAAACCGATCAATTAATAGTGATCGGAAATCAGATACTTATTAAAGTACGGTTTCTTTTTCTAATGGCGGAATCTTTTGAGATGAACTATTCGGTACCGTTTCATCAAGCAAGGTTACAAACTCGGTGTTGTTATTTCCGAGGGTTGTTGGTTCAATTTCACTTTCCATCCTTGTCTTTCTCTCTCCCCAGTCCACACATAGCCGGCTGAAATCCAGGCGCCCAGTCTCTCGATGTCGTCTGAAAAATCGTATAAACCGGCAACAGAATAAATACTGAAAAAACCTGATGTAGCCGCGTCGGAAATGTCTAGTGAGTGTGCCATAAGCAATCGGGTTCAAACAGCTGTGAAAGTAAAGTAGCGAAGGAGAAAACAAGAAAAGAGATTTTATTAACTCGTGATTTTCTGGAGCAAAGTCTAAGAAAAGCCAAGCAAGCTGCGCCGGTAGCATGCAAATAGCGAATAAAATGACAATAGCCGCTAAAGTTTTTATTACTTGCATGTTCTCTTTTCTTCTATCGTGGTTTGCTTGATGATTTGGAACCTGTCGCCTTGCTTGGCGAACCAGATCGAGGCCAATGCGCACATACGCGACCGCGATTATAGTCAGCGGTAGCAGAAACTGCAATACAAACAGGCTGGCTGTGTAAGCTTGTCGGTATTTGTGGGAGGGCCATACTTCCGTGCAGCCCTGTGGCTCCGCTAATTTTGGCTTTGTCACCAAGAGCAGCGGAATCACAAGGAAAAGACCCAACAGCCAAATCCCAAGGATCCAAAGAAACACGTAACGATGTAACATTTCAGGCTTGAAAGGGTTCAGAATCACGTGACACCGGAAGACAGCCATAGATGTGAGAGTGAAGATGCTGAGGTTTACGGTGACGGTCATTAAGGGCCATATCAACCGGCAATATAAGTCGTATTGGATGTCAGCAAACATCATGTAGACATTTGTTGGTAGGCACACAAACAGATACATTAAGTCGCTAATTGCCAAGTTGAGAATGAAAATATCATTAGCTGTCCGGCGCTCCCGTCTGGCGGCCACAATAACTATCACCAGGAAATTACCGAGGAGTCCAACCACGAAAGCCACTGCATAGAATGCTGACATCACCGGGTCCTCAATTTCCGTATCGGTGTTGTTTGTCATGGTTTCGACGACGCAAGTTTTCCCAACTTAGACGAGATTTTGAAAATTAGGAATTAATTAAACTCGGCACACGTAGCAGCTTACTGTCCTCTTCTGAAATCAAGTCTTTCTTGAACTCTTTTCAACAATGTGTCGTAAAAGGTACGAATCTCTCGTTTTCTGTGTCGTGCCAACTTGTGACGAACTTCTGTGAATTTCTGTAAAAGATACAGCAATTATGTAAATTGAGTTTATACCCACATGTCAGCTTCTCAATACTTGCTGACTCAAAAGGTACCGAAAGGTCATGAATGGTTAACGCTAAAACAAACAATGCTATCATAACTTAGTCAACAGAGCTTATTTATAAAAGCTTTAGATGAAATTAGAAAATATTATTATATCAATACAAATTAGCATAACTGTTTTGCGGTTCTTCTCTGCAGGCAGTTACGTTTATAACTATTGTAAATGACGAACCACCCGCTCGCGAAAAAAAATGGCGTGCTAAGTTGTTTTCATTAATGTTTCTTCATTAGCAGTCTAAACGGCAAACTGCAAGTTTAAAAACTGCAACTGAACCTGCGTCGACAAAATGCCTTCACCTGTCTGACATTTTCTATATAATAACAGTCTGGAGTCTCTAACTGCATGATAAAACAACTAATACAAATACCTGAACCATATCACAACGATTTCATTCAGTTTTAAGATACCTGTAGGAATGTTGCCAATTAACAAACCAAGATCCAAAGCACATCTTTGTATCTAAATTAAGCCGAGCCAGGGAGGTCAGGGAGGGAATGAGAACTTTTAACACTAGCTTGAAATTCAATCCAACAACTTAAGAGAATCTACGTTTCTTTGCTTCCATTTCTTAATATCTCAAATATTTTTGTTTGGTATTTTGATATGGAACAACTGTGAAACCAGGGTAAATTGAGGAAGGACATTCAATAGACGATAAGTAAAGAGATCTAAGGTGCTTGAGTAAATTCTAGCGCAGGTTCAAGAAAAACCGTTCGTTAAATTTGGAAACAGATCCTTAAACGCTATAAATGTCTAATGGCTCTTGGCGTAGATAAAATCGCCGATAATTGTGTTGAAATACCCATAACAATCAACAAAGCACTTGAACTCAATTACTCGTAGTAATTCTATTCCCTTTTACAAACATTACTCAGCACCTCACTAAAAGCAATGCCAACCAGTCGGCAGCAAATATAAGGTTTAAAGATGAAAAGCATCGAAACTTGCAAAAAAACCGTGTGTCTTACTGATAACTCAAAGAAATACAAACAGTATAATTAGAGATGAAAGGAGATAGTTTTACTGATAAATGTGTCTCGATTTTCCACCTTTATGATATAGGCCTGACATTTAAAAAACGATCACTAGGCCAGGGTTGACATAGTCCATGCTTGATCGGATGGATACACTACTGCAAAGGCAGCTAAAATTTTTATTGATTGATAGATATATGGAACAATGCGCATGACATGCATAACATGAAATTAACAAAAATGTTACTGAAATGATGATAATAATTCATGATGAAAATAAATAGTATGGCAATGTCCCATGCATTTGAGCTAGGGCAAGGTAGCAACTTAAAAAAATAAAAATAACATAACTCGTCATCGGTTGGTAATTTAGTCAAACTTTCATCCACACTATAGGGCCGTAGCCGTGGGAGTAGTTCATGGAACAGAGACAAAAAAATAGTCTTAAGAAAAATAAAAAAAACATGAAATAACTGCGAGGATCTCGCATGTCACGTAAACAAAACTCTGGAAGCCAAGAGCAAAAAAAAGGAATATTAAATTTAGGCCGGTACCACACCCTGTCGGCCTCCATGTCGCCAACATCTTTTTTTTTTTAGCTCTTTCTAAGGATCAAATGTGGCACTTTGTTAAGCTGGGGCGCGGGGATAATTAAAGGAGGGATTGGGAATATACTATTAGTCGGCAGCGACCCACTGCACATCAGTAGCGTATAAAGGTCTTGCCAGTTTAACTCGCCAGAGGCGAATTCAGCGAATTACTTGAACGAAGAGGAGAAAGCAGCAGTACGATGGTCACCAGTCAGGAATTTGTCGCGGACAAATGTGTGAGTCAGCTAAAAAGCAAATATTTTGCAAAAAGACAACCCGTCAGTTCAAGGAGGAGCGATTTGATTCTCTACAACTGCAGTGGTAGTTTAAGACCTGAATCTATAATAAGTTTACCTTTTAACAAAATGATTTATTGCCTCCAACTTCTTCAGTAAAGAGAGTCAAGACTTTACCGTCCTTAAAATTTTAAAGTACTACTATCACTCAATTAACTTCAGTTCGTCACGTGATATATCATGTGATAATTTTACAGAAAAAACGTAAATGAATGTCCATTACATTCTTTTCCCCTAGGCAAAAACCTGTCTAGCCTAAATTTGAAACAGGTTCTCGTTTTCTAAGATCTATAAAGACAAATGCATGAGACAAATGCATGAGTCTATAAAGACGAATGCATGAGTCCTTTCATTTGGGCAAAAAGATAAGTCATTCAGGATCCTGTTAAGAGACATAGGTGCCTTATCACTCCAACTGCAATGTGATGATATGCAGTTTATAAGAAATAAGCTGAATACCACTAGATGCTGTCAGCTACAATGTAATTTTTTCTTTAGAAAATAATTACATTTTATGTAAGAACCTGCTAAGGCTAACTCAGAAAAATGCAGGTTCTTAGTTTTTATTGTATTCTACAACACAAACCAACAGATCTTAATTTATTATTATTATTATTATTATTATTATTATTATCGTTATTATTATTGTTTATGTCACCCCTGGAAGACCATTCGCAATGTGTAACTTTAACGTCATCAAGTTAAACTAGAATTCAGAGTACCCTCGCCCATATTCTGTTTTCGCCTTCTTTACAGATCATTAAAGCGACAGAAAAAACGCCTATTTCTTACAGAAAATTAAACTTTCACGAGTCCCCCATCAAAACACTTAAAGTTGGGAAAATACGCCTAGTTCTTACAGAAAATTGAAACACTTAAAAGTTGGGAGAGCGCGCGCTGTATTTCGCCCCTAGCTATCGCCTCATCCCTGGCGTCGATCTGGCATGTGAGAAACGAGCTCGGAATTTTTTCTGAGCTTTCTGCCATCAGAATTCTCCTTCTTCCAAATATTATAAATTAATTCAGACAACTCCTTACGTGATACGTTACCTCACTAACTGTGTACGTTAGCTCACTAAAGACAGTTGAGGAATGGCATTAGAACTTTCTAGTACTGATCAATAATGATCAAGATCAATAATAATAATAATAATAATTTATGAACTTATTGTGCGCTGCTTAACATGAGAATGATCATGCAGCTGCGCATTACATCTGCATTACTTTACAAGAAACAAATAAAAGATAACGCATTTCAAAACAAAAAATAAAAAGAGTATATATGCATTGCAAGTAAAACCTGAATATAAAATTGCTCACCAATATAAAGTTCTAAAAAGATAAGTCTTAATATGTGCCTTAAAACTATTCACATTAGTAATCGCACGAAGTTCTTTTGGAAGAGAGTTCCAGAGCCTTGGCGATGATACCATAAAAGCTCTATCACCTAACGTCTTCGATGGAACAACTGGCATAGAAAGTAAAATACTACCTGAAGATCTAAGATTATATAAGGACGATTTAAATGTTAGTAAATCGCATAGATATTTAGGAGCAAGGCCGTGAATTGCTTTGACCTCACTATCAACTCACCAGAGTACATCGGCGATGGCTTATACAGTCATAGAGGTTGCAGTTTACTTTTCCCGCTCTCATTTTATTGTTCGAATGTCTCCCCAATTAGTAAGGCACTGTGCCTGAGCTATAAGACATGAGACTTTAATAAAGTTCATTATTATTATTATTGTTATTATTATGCAATTTTATTTCGCTCATTTTGGAGACCGTGCCCGTGGGTGATACGATTTTGACCGGGAAATTATTTTAAAAAACTGTTCGGTTTTGCGGTTTTACTAGTCCAAGCTACTATCCTCTACTGCCTTAGAACCAGCGTACAGAACTAAAAGAACTCACCAATAAATTAAAAAGATTAAATACGCTTTCCCGGAAATCCACTCAATTCAAACTAAATTCTCGGTAGAAGATCGAGCAAAATATGATGACGTCATAACCGCTTGACAACGACCGGTTGGACTGTTTGTGCTGGTATGACTTCGAACAGTCGAATGCCGCAGGCTAAGGCTTGTATTAACTGAAGAAATTATATATTTATTTGTTCCATCTGAGTAGCTCACACTTACTCAGTTTTTCTACTTGGCCAAATCGACCATCAGACAGTCAAACCGGAGGGCAATTTGACGGCAAGCCTTAATGACGTTTTTACCATTCAGTATCCATCGAGGTAAAGAACTCATTGCATAATAATAAAGATATTGGCCGCAGGTACCGGCTAAAAGATTTATCTTTTGTAGTCAAAGCTTGGACAAGAAATGGACTGCTCAGCAGCCATGCAGAATATACTGGATACTATACTAACTAAAAGAAATTTGTGGCTACAGTTTTAACCGATAACTAAAAGCGAACGTTTAAAGTGTCACCGACATCGCAGACTCTCGAACCATTATCTCAGCATCTACCTTCTGAAAAGCATGAAATGTATATTGAAGAACCAATTTAAATAACAAATATACGGCCGGAGAACAATGGAAAATGTCTCAAGTTTTCTGAACGAATATTGACTTATTAACTTTGAATTTTTTTCTCCTTTGTAAACATCAGGATTGAGGGATGATTTTTTCCCGTCTTTACACAGCTTCTGTTTTGAGCGCCTCAGCTGCTGACTGTCATTATGTCTGCGATTAAAAAAACACTATTTCAAGCTAGCCTAATGGCGCCTAATGCGCTAGTAACTTCCCATTAGTAAAAGCAAACGAAAAACCACTTACATTAGATCTGTATATTTAAAAAAAAAATACACTTTTACACTAAATTGGCAGGGAGTGTAATCAACG